AGAATACACTGAACAGGAACAACCCCTAGAATACACTGAACAGGAACAACCCGCAGAATACACTGAACAGGAACAACCCGCAGAATACACTGAACAGGAACAACCCCTAGAATACCCTGAACAGGAACAACCCCTAGAATACACTGAACAGGAACAACCCCTAGAATACACTGAACAGGAACAACCCCTAGAATACACTGAACAGGAACAACCCCTAGAATACACTGAACAGGAACAACCCCTAGAATACACTGAACAGGAACAACCCCTAGAATACACTGAACAGGAACAACCCCTAGAATACACTGAACAGGAACAACCCCTAGAATACACTGAACAGGAACAACCCCTAGAATACACTGAACAGGAACAACCCGCAGAATACACTGAACAGGAACAACCCGTAGAATACACTGAACAGGAACAACCCGCAGAATACACTGAACAGGAACAACCCCTAGAATACACTGAACAGGAACAACCCCTAGAATACACTGAACAGGAACAACCCCTAGAATACACTGAACAGGAACAACACGCACAACACACTGAACAGGAACAACCCCTAGAATACACTGAACAGGAACAACCCCTAGAATACACTGAACAGGAACAACTGCAGAAATCCAGCACGCCACAATGGCAACCTCCCAAATCGCATTCACGTCAGCCGTCTCAAAAAATGTTGTCGACGTAACATCGGAACTTCAACAGCTTGTTTGACCATACTTCACCGCGCCAGTCAATGTGTGTGTGTGTGTGGGGGGGGGTTGTTGGTTGTGGAGGGGAGTCGGGACCGGTTCGGGTATCACTCGCCAATGTTGATGGTAAGCCGTGGGCCCGGAATCGAATTATCGTCGCGCGAGTGCGCTCACCACTGCGCCACCGCTCCGCACGCATGCAGTATACAGTATAGACTGTATCTAGTTTATAGCAGCGCTGCCCTCGCATTCCCGCGCGTGTACATGTATGTGTAGAGAGGTGTCCTTTATTTAAACACTTGAGAGCCCACATTCCGATCTGCGATGCCCTTTGTAATTTATAATTGTGGAGAGGAACACGTGTGTGTGTGTGCGTGTTATGCATGTGCGCCTGTGTTTGTAGCTATGTGGGGAACGGTAGTGTAGCGGTTAGCGCGCTGCGCTATGAACCTGGCGACCCGGGTTCTATTCCCGCACACGGCCTACATCAGTGACGATTATCTGAACCGTCCCTGGGCCTCCCCCTAGGTGGACTCAGCCTCAAATGAGTGCCTGGTGCGATGTGTAAACATCGCCACTAGGGAGACAAAGGCGGCCGGGCGTGGTGTTGGCCACCCACCCCCTCGTGTGCTATGCCGGCCTTCATAGGTGCTCGCTCACAGCACTTGCCCCAACAGTCTGTTGAGGCTACACGGGGGATCTTTTTTTGTAGCTATGTGGGGAGAGGTGGTGTAGTGGTGAGCGCGCAGTGCTTTAAACCTGGAGACACGGGTTCAATTTACTCTCACGGCCGACACCAGTAACGATTATCTGAACCGGCCCTGGGCCTCCCCGAGGTCGACTCAGCCTCAAATGAGTAACTGGGGTGGGGTGTACACATGGCCACTAGGGAGACAAAGGCGGCCGGGCGTGGTGCAAGCCTCCTACCCATGTCCTGTGTCGGCCTTCGTAGGTGCTCACCAACAGCACTTGCCCCAACAGTCTGTTAAAGCTATACGGGGGATTAATCTTTGTTTTTTTTTTTCGGTAAAGTCACGTAGAAATAAGAAAAAAATAAAAGTACATCGTATATTATGTAATTTTATTTTTTTCTTATTTTTACGTGACTTTACCGAAAAAAAACAAAGATTAATTCCTGCAGTCACGAAAGCACCAAATCGAGTTTGTATACGGGGGATATTTGTCTTTGTTTACACGTATTTTTATTTATTTAACTGTAGGGTAGATTGATCAGAAGCGATGATGATGACGATGGTGTGTGTGTGTGTGCTAGGCTGATGATAACTATGGTGTGTGTGTGTTAGGCTGATGATAACTATGGTGTGTGTGTGTTAGGCTGATGATGATGACGGTGTGTGTGTGTTAGGCTGATGATGACTATGGTGTGTGTGTTAGGCTGATGATGACGACGGTGTGTGTGTGTTAGGCTGATGATGACTATGGTGTGTGTGTGTGTGCTACGCTGATGATGACGATGGTGTGTGTGTGTGTGTGCTAGGCTGATGATGACGATGGTGTGTGTGCTAGGCTGATGATGACGATGGTGTGTGTGTGTGCTAGGCTGATGATGACGACGGTGTGTGTGTGTGTGCTAGGCTGATGATGACTATGGTATGTGTGTGTGCTAGGCTGATGATGACTATGGTGTGTGTGTGTGCTAGGCTGATGATGACTATGGTGTGTGTGTGTGCTAGGCTGATGATGACGACGGTGTGTGTGTGTGTGCTAGGCTGATGATGACTATGGTGTGTGTGTGTGTGCTAGGCTGATGATGACTATGGTGTGTGTGTGCTAGGCTGATGATAATTATGGTGTGTGTGTGTGTGCTAGGCTCATGATGATGACGGTGTGTGTGTTAGGCTGATGATGACTATGGTGTGTGTGTGTGTGCTAGGCTGATGATGACTATGATGTGTGTGTGCTAGGCTGATGATGACTATGGTGTGTGTGTGTGCTAGGCTGATGATGACGACGGTGTGTGTGTGTTAGGCTGATGATAACTATGGTGTGTATGTGTTAGGCTGATGATGATGACGGTGTGTGTGTGTTAGGCTGATGATGACTATGGTGTGTGTGTGTGTGCTAGGCTGATGATAACGATGGTGTGTGTGTGTTAGGCTGATGATGACTATGGTGTGTGTGTTAGGCTGATGATGACTATGGTGTGTGTGTGTTAGGCTGATGATGACTATGGTGTGTGTGTGTTAGGCTGATGATGACTATGGTGTGTGTGCTAGGCTGATGATGACTATGGTTTGTGTGTGTGCTAGGCTGATGATGACGATGGTGTGTGTGTGTTAGGCTGATGATGACTATGGTGTGTGTGTGTGTTAGGCTGATGATGACGACGGTGTGTGTGTGTGTGCTAGGCTGATGATGACTATGGTGTGTGTGTGCTAGGCTAATGATGACTATGGTGTGTGTGTGCTAGGCTGATGATGACTATGGTGTGTGTGTGTGTGCTAGGCTGATGACGACGGTGTGTGTGTGTGTGCTAGGCTGATGATGACGGCGGTGTGTGTGTGTGTGTGCTAGGCTGATGATGACTATGGTTTGTGTGTGTGCTAGGCTGATGATGACTATGGTTTGTGTGTGTGCTAGGCTGATGATGACGATGGTGTGTGTGTGTGTTAGGCTGATGATGACTATGGTGTGTGTGTGTGTTAGGCTAATGATGACTATGGTGTGTGTGTGTGCTAGGCTGATGATGACGGCGGTGTGTGTGTGTGTGCTAGGCTGATGATGACGACGGTGTGTGTGTGTGTGTGTGGTAGGCTAATGATGACGACGGTGTGTGTGTGTGTGTTAGGCTGATGATGACTATGGTGTGTGTGTGTGCTCGGCTGATGATGACTATGGTATGTGTGTGTGTTAGGCTGATGATGACTATGGTGTGTGTGTGTGCTAGGCTGATGATGACGACGGTGTGTGTGTGTGTGTGCTCGGCTGATGATGACTATGGTGTGTGTGTGTGTGCTAGGCTGATGTTGACTATGGTGTGTGTGTGTGCTAGGCTGATGATGACGACGGTGTGTGTGTGTGTGCTAGGCTGATGATGACGATGGTGTGTGTGTGTGTTAGGCTGATGATGACTATGGTGTGTGTGTGTGTTAGGCTAATGATGACTATGGTGTGTGTGTGTGCTAGGCTAATGATGACTACGGTGTGTGTGTGTGTGTGCTAGGCTGATGATGACGACGATGTGTGTGTGTGCTAGGCTGATGTTGACTATGGTGTGTGTGCTAGGCTGATGATGACGACGGTGTGTGTGTGCTAGGCTGATAATGACGGCGGTGTGTGTGTGTGTGTGCTAGGCTAATGACTACGGTGTGTGTGTGTGTGCTGGGCTGATGATGACTATGGTGTGTGTGTGTGTGTTAGGCTGATGATGACTATGGTGTGTGTGTGTGTGCTAGGCTGATGATGACTATGGTGTGTGTGTGTGTGTGTGCTAGGCTAATGACTACGGTGTGTGTGTGTGTGTGCTAGGCTGATGATGACTATGGTGTGTGTGTGTGCTAGGCTAATGACTACGGTGTGTGTGTGTGTGCTAGGCTGATGATGACGATGGTGTGTGTGTGTGTTAGGCTGATGATGACTATGGTGTTTGTGTGTTAGGCTAATGATGACTATGGTGTGTGTGTGTGTGTGCTAGGCTAATGATGACTACGGTGTGTGTGTGTGTGTGCTAGGCTGATGATGACGACGATGTGTGTGTGTGCTAGGCTGATGTTGACTATGGTGTGTGTGCTAGGCTGATGATGACTATGGTGTGTGTGTGTGTGCTAGGCTGATGATGACGACGGTGTGTGTGTGCTAGGCTGATAATGACGGCGGTGTGTGTGTGTGTGTGCTAGGCTAATGACTACGGTGTGTGTGTGTGTGCTGGGCTGATGATGACTATGGTGTGTGTGTGTGTGTTAGGCTGATGATGACTATGGTGTGTGTGTGTGTGCTAGGCTGATGATGACTATGGTGTGTGTGTGTGCTAGGCTAATGACTACGGTGTGTGTGTGTGTGTGCTAGGCTGATGATGACTATGGTGTGTGTGTGTGCTAGGCTGATGATGACTATGGTGTGTGTGTGTGTGTGCTAGGCTGATGATGACGACGGTGTGTGTGTGTGTGTGCTAGGCTGATGATGACTACGGTGTGTGTGTGTGTGTGCTAGGCTGATGACTACGGTGTGTGTGTGTGTGCTAGGCTAATGACTATGGTGTGTGTGTGCTAGGCTGATGATGACTATGGTGTGTGTGTGTGTGTGCTAGGCTAATGACTACGGTGTGTGTGTGTGTGCTAGGCGAGGTGTGCGCGGGCTGCGCGCGCCCCATCGAGGACCGCTTCCTGCTGCGCGTGAGCGACTCGTCGTGGCACGAGCGCTGCCTGCAGTGCGCCGCGTGTCGACAGCCGCTCACGCGCAGCTGCTACACCCGGGAGCGTCGCAACTACTGCCGGCCCGACTACGACAAGTGAGTTCGCGCACACACACGCACGCGTTGATACACCACGTGATGACACACACACACACACGTTATACACATGGGATGACGCACACACACACGTTGATACACACGGGATGACACACACACGCGTTGATACACACGGGATGACACACACACACACACACACGCACGCGTTGATACACACGTGATGACGCACACACACGCGTTGATACACACGGGATGACACACACACACGCGTTGATACACACGGGATGACGCACACGCACACACGTTGATACACACGGGATGACACACACACACGCGTTGATACACACGGGATGACACACACGCACGCGCTGATACACACGGGATGACACACACACGCGCTGATACACACGGGATGACACACACACACACGCGTTGATGCACACGGGATGACGCAAACGCGCACACGTTGATACACACGGGATGACACACACACACGCACGTTGATACACACGGGATGACACACACACGCACGCGTTGATACACACGGGATGACGCACACACACGCGTTGATACACACGGGATGACACACACACGCACGCGTTGATACACACGGGATGACACACACACACGCGTTGATACACACGGGATGACGCACGCACACGCGTTGATACACACGGGATGACACACGCACGCGTTGATACACACGGGATGACACACACGCACGCGTTGATACACACGGGATGACACACACGTACGCGTTGATACACACGGGATGACACACACACACACGCACGCGTTGATACACACGGGATGACGCACGCACACGCGTTGATACACACGGGATGACACACACACACGCCTTGATACACACTGGATGACACACACGCACGCGTTGATACACACGGGATGACGCACGCACACGCGTTGATACACACGGGATGACGCATACACACGCGCTGATACACACGTGATGACACACACGCGTTGATGCACACAGGATGACACACGGACACGTTGATGCACACGGGATGATACGCACACAGTAATACATGCGGGATAATACACACACACGCGTTGATACGGGATGATGCACACACGTTGATACGGGATTATACACACACGTTATTACATACGTGATGGCACACGTGTTCGTGCAAGCACTGCTAGCCCGACTACAAGTGGGTCTCATGTGATACACTTACAGTACGTATATACATACCCTGATAAACACACCCTGACAACGTGTTTTACATATATGAATACATACAGCGGTGCATAACATCGACATGAAGACAACGACACGCAGCGCTCCACGCGTTGGTACATACGCACAAAAGTTCACGAGTTGATACACGCACTGGTACGTGCACACCGATGCATACGCATGTTGATACAGTATGTTCATGGAATTACGGCAAATACAAACGCGAATGCAGTGATGCATATTTATACGCACTGATGCATGCGCGCACTGATACATATTCTCGTGTAACTACTCGCAGCCCGCCTACAAGTGAGTGTACGTGTACATACGTACTGATACGTACATAAAACTACAGTATATATGTTGGTGTAAGGACTGCCTGATTGACGACAAGTGTGAGCTCTTTCACAGCGATAATACGACGACGAGTACGGCGACACGAGTATACGTCCATCAACACATGTCAATGATACGTACACTCACGTGTCCATGTGATTACTGCCGGCCCGGCTACGATAAGCGTGTGTGTACACACACATGTTTTAAGAATACATTGGTATTTGTGTGCGTGTGTATATATATGTCTGTAGGTGCTCGCTAACAGCACTCGCCCCAATAGTCTGTTAAGGCTATACGGGGGGGGGGGGGGGGGAGGGTCTTTGTCTTTGCCTATATCTATGCACACGATGACACATACACATTGGGAATGCAGTACGCGCAGACACTGATACACGCCCGTGTACACACAGCCGGAATAAGGAGAGTGCGTGCGTACACGCAGACTGACATACACACACACACGTTGGTGCCTACACCAACAGCACATACGTATGCAAAACAACAATTGAAGGTGTAAGTGTACGCTTACCGACATGCATACAGCTCTATACGTGTACGGTGCATACACGCTACACACAAGGCACACAACTTGTACACAATTCTAGATTTGAAGCTTTCGTGACTGCAAGGATCCATACTCTTTGGTTCTATTCGGTAAAGTCACGTAGGTAAAAATAAAATAACAGAAAATCACGACGTTTTGGCCACAACACAACTTGTACACAGCCATACTCGGCACTCAACAACGGAGCCATCAATAGCGCGCTGCCTTTAAAAGAAAAAAAATAGACGTTCCAGGGGAGTGGTCCTTTTTCACAGCACGTAGCAAGCACACGTTGCTACGTGCCTGCGTATATAGAAAACGCATCTGCTGCCAAGAAGGGCCATCGCCCGAAACGTTGCCGATTGTATATATGTATATATTTTTTTTCTTTTTTTTCTTTTTTTAGGGCCGCAGTCTTATTGTAGTAGTCGTGGCAGCAGCCACCACCACCACGTGACTTTATACATTCGCTGTACTCGGGGAGTATTCGGGCGATCCATAAATAGACACCCCACTAAAATAACAGTGGTGCATGCAACAGCGTAATTTTTTGTTATTGCGTAACGAAACATATCATTACGTAATAACATGGACTCCGTATGAACTCGCAAACAATGGAGAAAACCACGGTGCATGCCAAAGCGTCGAGCTCCTCGCAAGGCGCTGCTGCTCTCTCGTCTTGAGACGCGGAGGGGGAGGGGGGCCCTTCGCGTTCACGCTACCCCAGTCTTGAGGTGCAATAACAAAGCCACTACAACAAGACAAAGATCCCCCCCCCGTAGCCTCAGCAGACTGGGGGGGGGGGCAAGTGCTGTTAGCGAGTAGCGGCGTCTATGAAGACCGGCACCGGCTTACACGAGGCCCGGGCCCAATGGCGATGTTTTTACGCACCGCGCCGGGGGTTCTCACTTGAGTCGACCTGGGGGCGGGGGGGTGGGGGCAGTCCCAAGAACCCGGTTCGAGTAAGGGGCCGTTCATAAATGACGTCACGCACCTGGGGGGCGGGGGGGGGCAGAGCTTTGTGACGTCATATTTGAGAGGGGGGGGGGGTCTGACTTTTTGTGACGCCGTGCGACGATGGTGATGGGGGAGGGGGGTCAAAAATCGTTCAAAATCGCGTGACGTCATTTATGGACGGCCCCCTTAATCGTCACCGGTGTTGGTGGCCGTGAGCGGGGTGGGGGTGGGGTGGGGAGTCGAACCCGGGTCTCGCCTGGTTCGTTGCGCTCCCAACAGCGCAGACGCGGCGAAGGTGACGGACCGAGCGAGCGAGTTTCTGCCTCGCGGTGGCCTCGTCAACCTGCGCCGCGGTGGGGGAGGTCGCGAACCTCCCCGCCGCCGCCACGTTGCCGTGCCAGGCTGCCCGCGAGACGACGGAGATCTTGTTGATGATTATTTCAAGGCCGTAATTATAATATATTGAGGGGGGACACGTCCCCCTCCACGTCCCCCTCCACGTCCCCCTCCACGTCCCCCTCAATATTCAAATATGCTCAAAATGCCCCCCCCCCCAATATATTGCTATAAAATAGATTTCTGTTTACATGATTGTGGTTATGGTTGTACTTTATTAATCCCCAATCTCTGCCGTTACATACGATGACACAAGAAAAGGTAAAAAAGAAAAAAACAGCAATGTAACACAATACACTATTAGACATTATTGTAAAAAAAAATAAAAGGTCCACCCATGTGTTAGTGAATTTTAAAATATTTTAGGCAGGAAATGGCAGGAAATGAGTTTTCAAATTTAGATTTATTTTTCGGGGGGGGGACCCCCAGACCCCGTGGAAGATTTGGTCCCCCCCCCAATTTTGACTCTACGGCTACGGCCTTTAATTATTTAGTTTGTTTTAGGGGGTCGGGTGGGGTGTGAGTCGTTGTGTACGCGAGGCTGCGAGGTGGTGATGGTGCTACGAGAGGACGCAGACTTTGAATTGTCATAACAAGGGAGATGTTGACTCCCTCGCCTGGTGTGCAAGGATGCCGTGGGTTCGAAAGCCGACCCAGACACGATGGCTGTGTGGTTGAAATGTACGTCTCTCCCTATCCATGTCCCCGCTTGTCTGGTGGATTTTTATCCGGCTCCTCCAGTTTTTTTCCTCTTCCCTCCACAATTTAGAAACATGCGTTTGGAGTGTTTGGCCTGTGATGAATGTCTGCACGAGAAGCCACTTCGTTAAGAGCTGTCATTTGTGACCAGGTCGCTTCTGAAAAAGAGGTGTACAGCACAGCGGGATTTTCCTCGTCAAATAAGTTTCGTCTTCACTTAAACTTTTCGTGACTGCAGAAATTCAAAGACACAAAGAATATGAAATGAGTTTTGTTTAAGGCAATGCTTCTTAACTTTTTTTTTACTGCAGCTTTGCGCCCCTTTGGTGCTCAATCGTGAAGCAAACAAACAAAATTTTTAATGTTAATAAATACATCGGGGTTTGATGAAACAAAGCGGTTGTACCTACGTGCCCGCGATTAATTAAGGGGTTTTTTTTTAACCCCCCCCCCCCCCCGATTATTTAACCTTCAAAACCAATCTGGCCACGTGTCCGCTACCCACGGAGAAGGGCATCTCTCGTACCCCCAGGTCAAGAAGAAGACCCACTTGGTTTAAGGTATTGATTTTATTCAGTTGTTTTTTTAAAAAAAAAATGGTCAAGACGGAGCAAACCACAAGTGGCGAACACACGACGAGACAGAGGCCGCAAACGGCTTCCTCTCGAGGCTGTGGCTGCACTGCTGTGGATATTGTGTCGCCGTCGTTGTAGTGTCGTTGCGTTACAAGTTGTGCTTGTGCCATGTTGTGGTTGTGGTTGTGTTTTTTTTTTGGTTGTGTTCTATCGGTGTCGCGTTGCTACTTTTGTATTGGTATTGTGGTTGCATTGTGGTCGTATTGCGGTTGCGTGTCCATCGTGTGGTTGCATTGTGGTTGTATTATATACCAGTACCGTATTG